GCGTCCGCGTCCCCCCTGTGTCCACCGGGTGTTAGACTAGGGCTACGCCTCCTTTTCTCTTGTAAGCCGTTCACCATGTTCTCTATGGATTTTAGTTCACCCGCTGAACTGCCGCCCGACGTTAGGCCAGCCGTTGGTGTGGGAGAGCTAGTTGGAGGCCTTGGAGGTGGAGACCTTGGGCTGAGTGTCCTACTACCAGGGGTGACAGTTTCGAACGCGGATCCGTGTGACGGTGCTGGTAAGGTATACGGCGCGAATCGATGTCCTTTTAGTTGATGTAGAGGACTGGCCAGGGGGTGAGGATAGTGAGCGAACAAGGCTGGGTGCTGGGACGCAGCTAAAGCCAGTTGCGCGTTGAACAACATGCCTGGAGTGACTCCACCATGGATTCCCAGGGGACTGGGTGGTATTAGAGGCCCTGGACCTGGGTATAACCCAGGTACCGGTGGATAGAGGTACGGTAACAGGGGCGGATGAAGCGGTGGACCAACCGATACGTCCGGTCGAGGCCCTTCTGAACCCGTTGGGCCTGGTCCACCGCCGCTCTCGGAACCCGATGACTCGCTACCCTCCCCTCTTTCGCTTGTTCGATCGTCCCTCTCGCGAGAGTGTTCGCGCTCGCGTTGATGATGCGCTGGATGGGGTGTATCGGGTCCCACGACGTCTAGAAGTTTGTCCTCGTCATCTAAGAGGTCGTTAACCGAATTGGAAGAACGACGCTTCTCGGGGGATGCTGGCCCACCTGCTGTTAGACGGGAACCGCCTCCTGACACTGTCAACAGCGCCTGCCTTCTGCAACAACGACGCGGAGTTAGCAATCTTTTAGGGCTCGTTGGGATGTTTTCTTTTAATGGATTATTTTTTTAGGAAGGGTTAGCTTCATGGAAAGCTTTTTGGATTTTTTTAGTTACAGGAGGTTAGATTCATAGAATTTTTGGAAATCAGACGGTTATCATAGTTAGCCTTCAATTAGTTTGGTACAGGCCAAATAGTTGACAGACGAAATAAATTTTCTTCCACGTTTTTTCCTATTTTTCTGGCTAGTGTATTACTTTAATATCATTACCATACAGGGACAATTGGCCAAGTTTCTTATTAATTTATTCTTTAGTTAGTTAGCAGCGCGTATTTATCAGCAATTTGCATCACATTAGTTGAATACTACTTTAGTAATTCATTGTCAGAAGCATTATTGCATGAAGTGTAGAGAATATTGATCCGAGGTCTTTTATTAACGTTGAAAGTCATGTTATATGTTATAAAAAGAAGAGTTGTAACAATAAATTTTTACAGATTAGACTGTGAAAATAGAAGGATCGATTTTATGAAATATTTTACAACTATTTCTATTCAATTAAAAATTCTATATATTTTAAACTGTTACATTTTTTTTTTTTTAGAGTCCAAAGGGTATTATAAATATTATTCCAGCGATATTTAAGGTAAATTCGTTGTATGTCAAAAATGTAACAATTATCGGTTTAGTAGATGCAATCATTTGAAATTCACCCTTTAATCGAGGTGTTTCGCACCTGTGGCAAATTACAGGCGTTTTAGCCGTCGCGTGTGATCGCTGTAGCGACACTCATACGGCTGTTGCTGGCAAGCGTGCGTCTAAAATGTGTATTGATCGTGTGTTGTATGTATGACGTGTCAGTAGATCGATTATATTGGACCAAGTTTGTGCAATAAAAGGCTATGTTTTAATTTTAATGCAACACAAAATGTTCGATGCTTCGAAAGTACAGTTTCAGTAAAATTATAATCAGACATGTAAATTCATCTTAATTGTAGTGAAACTTAAATTTTTTCAATTTTTTCAAATCGGTTGCTCGAAAAAGAATCTTATTTATAATTTTTCTTTCTAATTTTTAATTATAACTTTGTGTTTATACTTTCGAAATAATAGATACGTTTAATTGTATCTTATTATTTTCATTTCAAATTCTTTGATAGTTTCGACATATCGTGATATACGAAGCAATTTATTTTTAAACAATGACACGCTTCAATTTTCGAAGCAATTCCCCTCGAAAACCCTGGCGAATCCAATTTTCAAACCAATTTATCCTAAGAAACTTGACGATTTCGGGTTGAAAACCAATTTACCCCAAAAACCGCCGTTGCTCGACACTCAAATCGACCTATCTGCGCGCCTATTCCAAATCTCAATTACTCGAACGACGTAACTGGAAAATTTTATCAGTCGACTGATGTGAAACGAGTCGTCTGGAAAATTTAGGACAGCTCGCGCCAATTATTATTTCCAACAATAATAAAACAATAAGCGTAAAGTATTCTAAACAAAAATAGAAAGCATACAAACTTGAAATATCTATGAGCTTAATGTCTCTCAGACAGAATTTCCTATTTATCTCATTAACACTAATATTACTCTATAAAAACACTCTTAACAATTCTCACAAATTTCGAATCACACTACCCACTTACTTACCCTACACACACGTAACCAACAAATTGACAGAGCCAAATACTCTAAACCACATTCTCCTAATATTAGTTTCAAGCACACTAGATAATTTGAAATTTCACATTGTATCGCGTCTTTCCGCCAAATGCCAACAGGTACGATAAAGTCTTTTTTAAGCGATCATCATGCAAATCAGCGTTTTTTAACAAACACGTTTCGGGAACGTAAGTATCGTGTAAGACTCGGCTTGAGCCGCTCGAGAGCCGGACGTAACGAGAGGCTCACCGATGCCTTAATGCCGCGTAATGCGATCAATGCACCGACACAGCCGTGGCAAAACGTCGACAAGGCTTGAAACAGAGAGCAACCGAGTCGATGGACAACGTGAACACGATCGAGAGAAAGAAGGAGAAACATTAGCGAGTACATTGTCGGTGTACTGGATGAATCCGTGAGCGTGGAAAGGGTGTTACGCTACTACGGTTCTCCGGTTTCCGACGCGCTTAAGTGCAAAAACACGTTAAAATCAATAGTTTGCGTGGACGACACGGGATTTAGTAAGCGAGCTGTACTCTCTTTTCTTTCCCTCATCCCTATGGTCTTCGATGGTGGAACGATCTGAAAGATCGAGAAGGGGAGCTTTCCACAGACTTGGAACAGATCCACGATATTTACTTTTACCCGGAGTCGAGGGCGACATTTTAGGGTGAGATTAGGAGAGTGATTTGTATCCTTTGACGATGGTTTGGGATAGTTTGCGAAGAAATTTTCAGACGCGTGTGAGAATTTATTGATTAAACGATTGAGAAATGATTAACCTCCGCCCTATTTCGTAAGTATCGGAAGATGTGGTGGTTTGATATATAATTTCTCGAATTTGTAATGATCGAGATTTTGGTGATTTAACGAACGATTTATATCGTTTCAGATGGCTTTCTTGAGACTAAAAAACAGAGGAATGTTTGATTTACATCCCCGTTTAGAAGCATTAGCTGACGATTGCAACGTTGAACTTGCAAACGAGAAAATAATAATTTAATAAATAGTAATTTCCATTTTTGACAATTCTCCTTTCTCTTTTTCTTCTTCCTTCTTTCTTCCTTTTTCTCCGAAATTTCTACAATTTCTCACGTCATAGCAATTCGAAGATCGAGTATACTTATGGAGTAGTTACTTAATAGTTTCTCGTTTCCTATTCTAATCTTCGCTTAAGCATCTGTGCATCAGCATTGCGATTCAACGGCTGACAAATCGCAAGATTATCCGCGGAATACGCGCGTCTCCTCGACCGATCTTGCTGTTACTTGCACACGCAAGTAGGATGAAGCAGGTAATTGGATTCACTATGTGTGCTTCTGTTGTGCACGCGGTCGTTCCAATTTCCAACTAGTTCACGCCTTGTACTCGTGATTTCAATGTTCTTATCATTCCAAATACCTTCTTACATCTGTCTCACCATAATCTCACGGTAAACCATGAAACAAACAACAATTTCACCCTGCGATATCCACAAATTCGTGTTTTGACGAGCAAAAAGAAACTCGCGAAGGAACGTACAGATTTCTTTCTCTAAATATTAAATCTACGATATTTTCTACATCTTCTCACATTATCCATTCTACGTTTAACACAGACTTCTTGATCCCTTCAACATAAACCTAAAGCAACTCCTATCACTCGCACCCCTCTAAATATTACAATACACTATACTTCTTTATATTTCTTTGCGTATGATCATTATAATACTTCTTTAACCCTTTGCCAAAAACCCAAAGCAACTTTTATCACTTGCACCCTCTCGATAATCCCTTAATGAAAACGCAACGCCTACAAAGAATCCCACTAATCCTCCTAACCTAACCACCAAACTGCTAGCACCCCCAGCAGCCCTTTTTCTTAAACCGCGATTACGAGACGAAGGGTGAGGTTGACTTCGTTAGAGGGAAAGAACGAGTCAAAGGTGGCGCATAATTTCACCATAATTACCCAGGTCGCCGATCGAGTGTCTGTGATCGCCTGATCGAACGTTCAGACGGAATAATGAAAAAATCCAGCAGCCCCGGGGTTTTGCCTTTGACGTTCGGCCTTTGGTGTATCGGTGTCATCCCACCCCAAAGATCGTGTCATCGTCGAGGATTTATAATCAACCCCTCGAAGCTTGCTGGGCCCTCGTTTTTGTGTTTCCACCACCACGTAGCCACCCCCGTGGAACAGCTTCGGTTCTCTCGTTGCGCACACCCCCGCTGATACCCTATGAAATTCTGTCAAGGCTCGATGATTCCCGTCTTCTTAATGGATCGTTGACGGTGAAAACGTCTTTCTCACGCTACACGTATATATATAGATGCGCTCTTCTTTTTTCCTGAGATATTGTCAGGATCGCGGAAGGGGGTAAGGGGATGACGACGATACGATGACGGTTGGATATCAGGGGAATCATTATTATTTCCTATCACTCGAAAACACACGAGGGCGCGGGATTCGAGTGGCCGTTTCAGCCACGATGGTTCTGAATGCTAGCTGACGTATCGCGGAATTTCAGTTTGGAGCTGTTTGGGGTGTGATAGAAGAAGGAGCACGGGGGTTTTAGGTTTTCACTATGTTGATTGTTTTAAGTGTTTGCTGGCAAGTGGAGTTTCATGCTGATGGCACTTTTCATTGGTTTATCGATTATGTACTTTGATGATCCTTCACCATATTTTTTCATATTGTTTCGTTCATTGTGTGTTGCCATGGTTATTTATTATGTAATATTTTATCTGGTTTTTCAACGTTTCTTTGCAAACGAAGCTCTATGCTGGAGGGATTATCTTATTGGTTTCACGATCGGAGAAATTATAGTCAGTTGGAAAACTGGTTTGTACATCGAAGAAATATCATGACAATGGGTAATTAGAAGAATTCGTTCGTAGATACAAAGCTTCTTCGATATTAATACAAATTCTAATCATCTCAGTTTCAGAAACAGAAGATTCAAAATCTAAAGTCTTTTGGATACTCTTAGACCACTTCGCCTTGTATTTACAGAAAAGTAGAAGATACGACGTTTATACGATAGTTCTTTACATTTCAAAAATTAGCAGCCAGTTTGTAAGATTCATCTTCAATATCATTATCGAAGTGTCGAACCAAGTTTAGTTTAAAAATACAATAGTAAATAATTTACTGACAGAAGCGACTGAACAATACACTGCATCTGGCGACTTAGGTTCGAAGGAAGCTTCATAAATTTACAACCTCATCCCAATGTGATTCACAATCGTTACAAACGATTCGTAATTCGTGCTACAACTATACCTGAGCATGACGGTCTCTAAGATTCGAGGATTACGTCGATAGTGTCGCGTAAACGCAACAAATGGCGAGGCGTGGCGATTAATAACGCGAAGCCAACGTGGAAACGTGGCCGCGGACAGATTGATTCTTCGTGAGGCACGATACGATCGTTCCGGCGCGCGCCTTGATAAATGACGTGACAACGAGCCACGCCGGGGCCAGTGCTGCCCTTTTTTTTTTATCTCCTCCTTCGCTTCGTTCTTTTCCCCTCCTTTTTTACACGAGGAAAATATTTCTTTTTAACCGGCATGACGAATCGACTGGCCACGCTCGAGCAGCGTTCCGCGCCTCACGACTACTCGCAACTTAAAAACTTAATGAAATAACGTGGCCGAACTCGCCGACACTAGGCACGCGATTATACCAAATCTGTCCAGTCATCGTGGCTTCTTTTTTAGTTGAGGGAAAATTTGACGATCGACTTAATCGAGATCCAACAAAGAAGATTATCGAGGTTAATATTAGGGCCCCATTTTTAAGGATTCGCCCTTCACTGTATGGGCATTATGGCGCAGGATGGCGTTCATACACGCGAAAATCAAAATGATATACAGATGACGATATGTCTAGAGAGACGAGAGTATTCGTTGAAAGAAATGATTCGAACTATTTCATTTGTTATAATCTAATTACGTTCGTAGATACGTAAACGAGGTTCGACGATATGATCATTTTGCCTTTGAAACTACTTAAATTCCCTGATTTGCTCAAATTGCCCGTGATCTTTAATTTGAATCACTTAGTTTTGAAAAGAACGAACGTTCAACACAACCATCGACTCGTCTGACCATTTTAAATTAACAATTTTTTAATCATGTTACTTTGCATGGTATCACTGTATAATCCGAAAGTTTTGTAATTTTCGAGAAAGAAAGCAGTCGATTAATACAAACTACGTCGTGTGTTTTAAGAATGTCATGTCTGAAACCAGGTGTTCCTGCTCCGTCTAATATGTGTAACGATTAGACTGGGGACATTTATGCAGGTTCATATCTTTGAGAGTAAAATTAAAAACGTAGAACGCCGATAGACAATTATTTCACTTGCCAAATATTATACTTTGGATACCTCGTCTACCTTTTCATGTCATGTGCATCCTGCGCAAATTTTGTACTTGCGAAGTTTCTACAAACGCGAAAAACTCCGCATGAAAACTCCAACAACGATTTCTACGTTTCTTTATCGCGACGAGAAAAGTGGCAGCGACGTATCGATACGGAGGATGTTTAAACCATAAGCAGGGAAAAAGGATCGAGAAAGGGAATAACGAAAAGAAAGAGGAAGGAAAATAAAGCAGGAGGCCTTGTACGCCGGAAGTAGTCCGCCCCACTACGAAAACCGGCCTTTATGCGCCAGTTACTGGCTGTAGCGACGATATAAAATTCAAAGCCACCAAGTAGCACCCTCCACGCTAACGACAGCGCCGCCCCTGAGCATCAGTATGCTAATCCGATGATTGGCTATGTTCCAACCCCGTCCGCTTCTCCTTCTCTCCCTCTCTCTTTCCCTTTCTAACCAGCGTGGCTCCATCTCCCGGTTCTCTGCGGCTTCCTGATGGGATCCGACCACCCTTAACCGAAACCATAAGCCAAAACTAACCCTTATTCTAATTAGGCGGCGCCACGACGCGCCCCCCTGCTTTGCATATTTTCTCGATTAACCTCGCCCTTTCTTTATCCGGCCGGTGCGTCGGGCGTCGCTTCAATTTCCGCGGAATTTCCTCCGTACTCTGCCCTCCTCCCGTGGTTTTTCCCATCGTCAATCCCACCTCCACCCTGCAGGGCACTTATCTAAGGAACCGTTGAAACCAGCGGCCGCTTCCGAGTATATTTTACTCGGGTTCTACGTTTGGGAAATAAACCGAAATTCGATGGCTTCAGGCTAATCGTCTTTTTTCTTGCGGGGGTGTTTTTTTTTTTAACGACGTTAGATTATTTCTGTAAAAGAACGTTTATTAAGTTTGAAGGAAGAATTTCTTTTCCTTCATTCGTATTTCGTATTCCACGTTCTGTTCGCTCTGTCTTCTTTTATATTTATTATACTATAATATTTTTACAACGTATAATCTACCTTATCTCACTGTATTTCTATTCTATTTTGTATCTCGAAATTTCCTTAATTCGACTGCAACAGAATTAAATAGAAAAACGTGAAAATCATAGACCTATTATCTCTATGGTAATAAAAATGTCATATACCTTACGCTTTATTCTTCTAATTCGATCCTATAATAATTAGAAAGAAAGACAACGACCCATTCTTCATCAAAAAATCACCCAGCACCCAAAAATCCAACTGTATTAATTATTAATTATTCTCTTGATTCGATTCTAAAATAATGATGAAGAAAGGTAACAAAGACTCATCCAGCACTCAAAAAACCAAGCTCTCGTATTAATATACAGTGTACCTTAGCCGAATTCTAAACTAATCGAACACACTAAAAAATCACGTGTCACTGAAATTCGCCGCAACCCTAAAGCCAAGCTGTGGACTCAATTAAATTCCCATAAACCACCCCAAAGTCCGTCTAGTTGGTCCGTTCCTCAAGGTCCTCAGTGACGATACCTGAACGTCCCGTAGACGACAAATTGACGAAGCTTTGACTCGCGTGTAGCAAGGATTAGCGAGGTTAACGAAGCTGGCACGAGGTTTATATGCATAGAGCGACTTAACCTCGTCAAGATCCACTCGAGGGCCAACAGAAGCCCCCCGGATGAAATTGAAACGGGTCCGAGTATACGCGACCCTCGCTTATATAAGCTCGTAAAGCCGCGATATTGAATACAAATGGACGATACCAGGGTGCAAATGAGCCCCGGTGGAAGCAACCCCCGGCCCTGGGGGCTGACCCCGAGCCCTGATCCGTTCAGCTTAATAGCGAGAACCGAGGGGAGAGCATGGTAAGCTCGACGATCAATTAGGTCCATCTAGAAGACAGGATCTGGAATTGCTTTTTGTTCGATAGGGTTACGATCCGGAGAGAGGGTGGACCATTACGCGGTTGCCCCTTTCAGCTGGTTTCTAAAGGACGATTTTTTAGTTTCTGTTCTTTAGTGCGAGAAAATTAGAGTTTTCTAATTTTTGTGAATTTTTATCCACTATAAATTCGTTTGTTCCTTTCTACAGAGGCCTTGAAAATATTTATCGATGATAATTTCGATACAGGGAATTAAAATCAGAGCTGTTTCTGTAGGTTAATGGCTTTGGTAAAATATCTATATTTTATATTATTTTCTTTATGATTCTATTATTAAAATATAATAATTTGTGGTTGGTTAATTGGAATTGGATTTTTACCAAGGATTTCATCTTCTGACAATGACATCATTAAAATAGTAAACTGAACCAAAATATTTGAGAACTTTAAGCAACAAGTTTTATTTTTTCTACTTTAATGAAATTTTGAAAGCGATACTCACTTTTTCTCGCGCTTCCCCGCCCCCGTGTCCCGAAATCCCTTCGCGAACGGGTTATTGTCGATCTTCAGCTGGGTGATCTGCAACAAAAGGGAATTACAATGCTACGGCATTTCGTTAATGAGATATCGACATTTGCGAGTAACACAAAACCGAGAATAATTAATCGAATACGCTGTCAGTGTTGGACAAAGGCCTCATTAACAAACATCCCTGCAAGAGATCATTTCGACAACACTGTTACACATCTCTATACATTTTGCTTAAATAAATGGAAACTCTGTTTCCACAATGTCTTCAACAATTCATTTCACATATTACGTTAAATTATGATAAAGCAGATTTAAAAATTTAAAGCAAATATCTTCATTCTATTATCTTAATTTCTATAATTCCTACAAATAATATCGTACAATATCTTACAATTCTTCTAAATAATAAACACCAAAATGTAAAATAAAAATCCTGACCCTATGAAACAAACCTATTGTTCATAATCACGTCCGATTTCCGTAACAGATACATTGCAAAATTTCAACAAAATATCTTCAACCTATTAGCCCAATATTGTTCGTCGTCCCTTTAATTTATGTAAATAGTACAGCTTTTCCTTCGATAACGAATATAATAACGAAATTTCAACAACGAAATACGTAAAATTTGCAGCCAGATATGAATTAAACGCAATTTTTTAAATAAAATATGAATTTATATAATGAGATTTTACGTTCCGATTGCTTTCACACATACATTATACCACATTTTGCAAAGAGTTGAAAACGAATCTTAAGGAATACTAAAAAATTCAGTAAACGTTTAAAAAATAAAAGAGCATAGTAGTTGCCACTTATGCATTCTTATTAGAAAAACACAAATCTCTTCGATCGACGTTGAAAACTTAGCCGAAAGTTTCCAAAGAATAAAATCACACTGAGAAAAGAAAATTCCGCCGGGGATCAGCGGGATGGATGGACAATTTTTTCGTTGGTCCAGATTCGGTTAATTAAAATCGCCTTTGGCGCGTAGAATGGCCAGATGGTTCCCGGAAGCTGCTTGCTTCCCGGTACGCGTTATTCTTGATTCTTGCGCGCGGGCGCAAAAGGGGCCCCTTGTCCGTATTTTTCGTCGCGCGATTCTTCCCTCTGCCGTTATCGCCTCTGTTTCCCGGTATCTCCTGCTTGCCAGAAGAAAGATATCGCCTATGTGGATCTTTTCGAGTGGCCTGGCCCTTCTGAGTTTCTCGAAACCCGGCTGATCTCGCCGGTTGTTTCGTGGGATCGTCGATTCCTCGTAACTTGGACCGATCGTTGCGGTATTTGATTATTGAAAAAGAGTTCTGGGAAAGAACGATCGCGTACAGAGGGTGGGACAATGGATGTCGAAACGATTACGGTGGACTGATGGTAGAAGTTATTGGAAATAACGGGGCTATGTGAATAACCTGGAGATAAGGCTGTGATAACGTATCTTTCTCCTTTGGCTTGCGAACGAATTTCTTATAGAAATTAAAGAAGAATGAATAATATTCAGTTTCGACAGAGCAACAATGTTTTCTTAGGTTATAGAATTTATTTGTAAAAATATATTTGTCAAAATTGGAGGCTGGAGACTGGATGGAACGACGCTTATGCTAGATTTATCTTTTTACGAATATAATCAAAATGAACATGTATGCAGAGATTTGTTTTATCTGCTAGATATTGCGACGAGTATTATGCTTTGAACATTTTATGCATCTTTACGTACTGTGCTTTCTATGCTTATTTCTACGGATTTGGATTTTTTTTTTTAAATTAATAAATTAGATTGCATGAGAACATCTTCTTACTTCTTAAAATGTACCTAATTATTATAGAAATCAAAACGTTTGAATAATATATTTTCCTACAAAAACCTTTATCCTAAATTCTGGAACTACTCGGATAGGGTTAAAGGCGATGTCAAGGTTTGTTTGATTTTTAGGTGACACCGTGATCGTACATTGAATTGCCAAAGGGTTGATAAAGATTAAAAAGCAATGTAATTTGTAACTGGAATATTCTTTACTCTAATTGACGCAACCCCGAATTCGCCGATTAATTCTTTGCTTTGTTTTTCGCCGTAATTTCGCGAACAAACGATTGGAAGCTTGTTAATTAAATTGTCGAGGTTGGGCTGCAACCCGACCGTTAATTACAACATTTTCTTTAATTAATTTAATTAATTCGATACCCGGCCCTACCGGCTCGGTCCTAAACTTCGATAATTAATATGCAAAGGTAATGGCTCGATAATAAATTTCCAATAAAGAAACGGATAACGCTGTTACACTCAATCACCTTTGCACACACGAATAATGAGACTAAATATTAATTGACATGTTAATCAACTATTCTACGAAAAACATCTCTCCAATGCCTATTACGATTTCCTCTTCATCTCTCAAGATACGTCAACTATTTAAAGTTTCCCGCGTTTTTATCATCATCATGTTCCCCTATAACCTTCAATTATGAATCTATCCGTAACATTAAAAAAAAAAAAACTAGTACTAAAATTTCCTACATAATTTACCTTATTCACTATTTCGTTTTAAAAACAGAGGATAGTTATGCAAATTCATAATTTTTCATATCATATTCATATTTCTATGATAAATAATAGCAGTTTCGCCAAATATTCCAACGTTAACTTGCGTGTTTTCTATATCTTTCTATTTTACCCAAGTCTCGCGTATCTTCGCACCTTCAAACTCTCTACAAATGCACAGAAACTCTACGTATAAGCTCCTCTACCCCGCAAGCTCCTCAATAAAAGCCGCGATCGATCCCCGAAACTCCTGTCTATAGAAGCGAAACTAAAAAAGAGAAAAAGAAAAATCCCTATAAACCTGAGAAAGTCTCCAGACGACAATTTCCACCTGGAAACTTTTCTGCGTGGTAGAGACGAGCAAAAGAGACTGAAATCGAACAAAACCGTCGTCTCGACAAAAGGCCAGAGTCGATCAGAGAGTTCGTCGAGACCAGCTAGACTAACGAGTTTTCCCCTAGCGTTTTCGCAGACTCGATCGAGTCTGCCGCT